GAACATGCGGCCGATTACTGCTTCTTTTATTTGTATTCTTGCCAAGAAAGTCTATCGATCCCTCCCTCCTGCCCGGCTTAACCATTTGACTTCCCCTCACGTTGTCCCAGTCCAGGACGTGTTGGTAGGAACGCGGGCGGAGACCGCCCACGTCGCACTGAGACATAAGCCATGGCAGGCTCCTGTTGTCTGTCATAGTTGCCTCGCTTTTGCACTTTGATATTTGCCACACATTCAGTGCTCTGATGTGCTTAGAGGTCCCTCCCTTGATAGAAGTCGGACAGTCAGTGATCGCCACGCTTGCATGAGACAGCCCCTTCTCGTATCGCATGTACGAGACGTGCCTGGACATGACAATCGAATGCGAGTCACACAGATGAGGCCGTCTTCAGCAAGGTCTATTGTTGGCAAGGAGATATACTTATACGGGGTGAGCTTTTCTGCGCACGTAGTGCATAAAATAAATGAAAACCCAATACATGTAAGTGGCTCAAAGTCGGGTGAAAAGAGGGAATCAAGGTGAAGATCCGTAGCACGAGGTGGGTTTGGTCCCAACGGTCTGTTCTTGGGTGACCCGGCGATCATTAATGAAATCTTTTATTTTGAGACTCAAACCAAACTCTCGGAGTGGGAAGAAAGGTAACCTAGTATTCCTGATTATTCCTCTTGATATCTAACCCCCACAGGAAAGTGAGAGATGCTCCACCAGTCATGCCAATCATCATCATTAGACCTAGAAGACACTATAGTAGTGCCTGCAAAGTAAGAAGTCACTTACCAAAAAACAACCGGCAGGTGTTCCTCTCGGGGTTCAAGATGTAAGTTAAGAGTTGCCCTGGCCCTGTTTCAAGCGGTAGCACACGCCGTCTTCTCAACGTTGAACCATGTCTCAACCGCAAGCCCCTATGTATCTCCCCGGAAATCGTTTGATGAAGAAGCCCCTTCTCATACCAAGGTGGCAGCATGGTAGTGAAGCGTCGTCCCGAAAGTCAAGCATCTGGGTTCTTGTAGTGACCGCCCCATATTTGTGATTTTCTAACTCCCCTATGTCCCTATGTACGCCTTTGCTGGTATCAATCAATGCTGTCCAAATGTGGAATAAAGTTCCACACATCCTAAGAAACCCTCTTCACCTTCCCTCATTGGTTCTCGAGGTACGTCTTCCAGCCTTTGCTCTGGAGCTCGGCAGCCTTGTGCTCAACTTCCCGGGACATGTTGCTCATATACTGAGCCATTTTTTGCTGGTACTCGAGGCTAGATGACCCGAGAATCTTGACTGCGAGGAGAGCAGCGTTGGTGGAATTGTTAATACCGACCGTTGCCACGGGGCAGCCGCGGGGCATTTGCACGATGCTCAGCAAACTGTCGTGGCCGTCAAGGTGAGTGGCTTTGACGGGCACGCCAATCACCGGCACAGTTGTCTCGGATGCAAGCATGCCTGGGAGATGGGCAGCGCCGCCGGCTTTGGTAATGTTAGCATCATATCATTTCTAAAGGGTCGATTAACACATGTAGACTTACCAGCTGCAATCAAGACCTTGATGCCACGCTGCGCGGCGGTCTTTCCAAGCTCAACCATACGATGGGGCGTACGGTGAGCAGAAGTGATGTCAAGGTCATAGGGAACCTCGAAATGCTCAAGAATTTCGAAGGCACCCTTCAAGACCTTGAGGTCTGAGTCAGAGCCCATGGTGACAACAACCAAGGGCTTATCGGCGTTGCGGGAGCTAGTCTTCTTGGCAGGAGACTCTTGCAGACGGAGTTGGTCTGTGGAAGCATCAAGTCGCGCTTCGCGCATGTAGTTCACCTCGTTAATCAGAGGCGCTGCTAGCCTCTCCAAGCTGGAGTTGGCAGAATGAGTCGTCACAGTGATGTGTCCAATTTTGCGGCCCGGCTTGGACGATTTGCCATAGAGGTGGAGGAAAACATCCATGTTATCATCGTATAAGGATGTGGTCAGGTCGACCAACTCTTCGTGAGAGTCTTCACGCGCACCGCCGAGAATGTTGAGCATCAGAGCGCCGGAGACGCGAGGCTGCAACTTGATAGATCGCGGGAGCATGTCCAAGATGGAGTGGAGCTGCGCCTTGTACTGCGACATGTAGGGCACACCCTCAATAGTCCAGTGGCCCGAGTTGTGAGGACGAGGAGCAACCTCGTTGACGGTGATTGTGCCTGTCATCAAGTTAGTTGATCCTCAAGTCTTGTGGCCTCAGCTAACTGACCATCCTTGAGCAAGAACATCTCAACAGCGAAAACACCTCTGCCCTTCACCGTCTTGATAACATCCCCAGCCACCTGGCGTGCCTTCTCACAGACATCCGCACTGACTTGGCGGGGTGGGTAGTACACCTTGGTGCAGATACTCTCCTCGTGGATAGTTTCAACGGCCGGATAAGTGTGAACCTTTCTCAACTCGCCGTCCTCATCCTCAGTCCGCACGACCATGACGGCCAGCTCCATCTCGAAAGGCACCCACTTCTCAGCGTAGAGTGAGAGCTTGCCCATCGTCCGAATGGCCTCCTCGTAGTCCTCCGGGCCTCTGACCTTGAAGTTACCACGGCCGTCATATGAACCCTTTCTCGCCTTCAGCATGAATGGGAATTGGAATGCCCTGTAAGCGGCCGTGAGGCTCTCAGGCATAGCAGGGCCGGATTCAATGGCCATCTGAGGGGCAATGGGGAGACCACCCTTGGCGAAGTGCTCTTTTTGCAAGTACTTGTCCTGGATCAGACGCAGAGTCTGCCAATGGGGATGACAGGGTACTTTCTTGACAGTGCCTGGAGCAGTGATGACACCGCGGGTCGCAATCTCCTCGAGAACCTCAGTGTTAACGTGCTCGATCTCGACAGTGAGGACGTCACACATGGCAGCCAGTTCTCTGATCTTGGCCGGGTCCTTGAAGGAACCCGTGACGTGCCGGCTGTTTTGGTTAGCTTGCTTCGCAGGACAATTGGCCTCGTCCAGAATCGCGATATCGATGCCGAGGGGCCCCGCGGCCTCGCACAACATTCGGCCCAACTGGCCGCCTCCAAGGAGGCCGATAACGGGCTTCTTGACCATTGTGAAAATCGACTTTGAGATTGATATAGGGCGAGTGCGGAGATGGGAAGAAGCAAGATAGAGAGAAACAATGGCCCAGGTCGAAATAAGGGTGGAGAGAGTGTTTCCCGAGGGAAGAAACGACTCATAAATGCAAGCACTTGGCTGGGGTAGAGCAAAGTTTTGACGCAGGAAGTTTACAGGTTTCTGCCTCATTGGGCAGGCGGTGAAAAATCACCCCGCCGTTATCGTCGCAAGAGAGCCCCACCCCCACTATGACAGCCCAGGTGAGGATCGCCCATCTAGGTTTGATGCCACAGGGCACCCCTGCTCCACTAAGAACCGCTGTAATTCTTCACTGCGGGCGCCTTCGACGTTGTGAGTGCGTCCCAATTCGATTCATCTACGCTCTCATATCAACTCGGGCATTTTATCACTCACTCTCGTGGGTGTCCTTATTGTCGCCATGGCAGCCGACCTCTATAATGAAACTCTTTCAGATAGAACACAGTGGGTTTTGATTTTCACTTTTCATTCACCATGGGTCAAGGTGACTGACAACGTGTGATTCTACGCAGTCCTCTGAAAATATTCGATGCTGCTAAGAGTCAAGATAGATTTCTAAACGTCTCAGCCCCTATGGTGAGGTATAGCAAGGTGATTGAAATCTGATGTTTCAAGACAAGAAGGCCATTGACTCATTATTCCACAGCTCGCTTTTCGTCAAACCGTTCACGAATATGCTACCGATCTTTGCTGGACACCCATGATCCTGTCGAAGGAGTTCAACCGCAATAATTTTGCCCGTGACAGTGGTTCGTTGACTCCCTTGCGGCTCACTCCGGTATCTTACCGTGGTCTGACTCTTCTCCAAAGATCTCACAATTTCCACTTGTGGAGTTCAGCCTCCCACGATAGTTCAATTCGGCGCAAACAGCCCTCTCGAGCTCGCCCGCTCATCATCTCTCGCCGCCCCTTTTGTCAACGGCGTCGATCTCAACTGTGGGTGCCCACAGTCATGGGCTTGCGCAGAGACCCTCGGTGCTGCTCTGATGGAACAGCGCGAACTCGTGCGAGATATGGTCATTGAGACTCGTCAACGCTTGGCTAGTGATGGCTGGCATGTTGGCAAGGAGCGGGATATCGATAGTCCAAAGGGGAGGAGCGTCAGCGTCAAGATCCGTGTGCACAAGGACTTGAGGTGAGTGTACCTTACCCCTGAGATTCTCGCTCACATCCTCTCTGGAACTACTCCCCGCTGACTTTCATACTCCACTGGCTAGGAAGACGATGGACTTCATCGACACTGTCATCGGCAATCCCCTGAACCGCAACATTGACTTCCTGACGATCCACCCCCGTACCCGTCACACGGCATCCACCACCCCTATTAACACCGAATCTCTTGGCATTCTCCTCGAGAAATACGGCGATACGCTCCCAATCCTCTTATCTGGCGATGTCTTCTCCATGGCAACGCTACCCCTCTCGACGGTGTCCAAAGCACCAAAAGAAACTCTGGAACCGACATCGATCAACGGTCACAATGGCTACACGGACTTCACCCCCAGTGGCACCAAGTTGGCAGGTCTTATGTCTGCGCGGGGTATCCTTGCAAACCCTGCTCTTTACGCTGGGTTCGAGTCCTGTCCGTGGGAGGCTGTCGAATGCTTCATGCGCCACGTCATTCGTGCCCCCATGCCAGTGAAGCTCGTTCAGCATCACCTTCACGAGATGTGCGGACCAGGTATGGGGCCGGACAAGCGTGCTCTGTTGAATCGACAGGAGAGGGCAGCATTACTCGCTCTCGACAATATGGTGGACGTGATAGACTTCTTGGATGATGCGATCAATCGCAAGACAGGCAGGACGGAAGGACTTCATCGAGAGCCGAGACGTAGCTCAACAATTACTATACCATGAACTACTACCCTCTCAATCTGCAGCATTATTTGACTTTAGGATGAATTCGCTATGAATTGTAATCACTGCTAAGGTATTCCCTACCTTTGCAAAGCATCGCTTGCGCCATGACCTCTGCCAAACTACCACCCCTGGAACGCCGTTACTCTGTGAAAGCGTGCTGTGACTCTTGCGCAATCCAAGATGCCTGCGCTTGAAGTCCCCTTGAGTGACCACTATGGTACATAAGCGTCGCCTTGCGCCTGTCGACCCTTGTGTCTGAATACACGCCGTAGAATGCGATAGACCTCCGATGCCCGTGGTCCGTAGAATTATTATAATGTTGCAGGCTAGAGCTCCTAGTCCAAAACCTCCCCTTCATCTTCATCGGACAGTCGTGCCCGCTTCTGTTCTCTGCCCTCAGAATCCGAGTCGACTTCTTTCCTCTTTCCTGGGGACGCCAGACTATTGCCATTCGCTCTTTCTGGCTCCTTAAGCGTGGCCTGCGAGCCAGACTCAGTGTTAGTGACGTCGTCGCGGCCATTAGCCCTAGCTCTTGGGCTCTGTGTCCCTCTATCCAGCTCAAAAGGCGTGCCTGCTGTAGACGAGAGAGCGTCCTGACTCATCGGGTCCCTCGGCTGTCTAGTATTGGCCAGGTCAAAGGCTGGTGATGGCAGTGACGGGTTCTGTTTACGGAGCGGGTTCTCTGTGTAGAACTGTCGGACAATGTCGATGGCCTTGGCACACTTGTCTTCGTTTCCTTTCAATGCCCTCCACCACGGTTCGCCGTTGACGTCTTCGATCTTCTGCTGTGTATGTATACTGGCAAAGAAGATGGCACTGATGGCAACGTCGCGTGCTTCGAGCAGTAGAGGGATGGAGGTAAGGCAAGCGTCGCTGCAGAACGCCCAGGCTGACTGCCTTAGATGCTTGTTGTGAACAATTTCGAGTTGGCCGAGAAGCTCGAAGAGACGCTGGTAAGGGTTTTCCACCATAAGGTCAAATGTGAGGTACTCGAGCATCAACTCCTCGTACATGAGAATGCTGTCTCTCCACCGCCAGTACTCCTTGCTCATCTCATCTATCATTAGCTTGGGGTTCTTTTGGGCCACCTTTGCCACTGTAATGATGATTTCCTTCGTCTTCCGACAGTTTTCTTCTGTCTTGTTCGCGAGAAAGAGCGCAGTAGCTGCAATGTTCTGTTCAACCGATTCCGTCAGCATTGGTTCGGCTTGAGCCTTTTGGGTCCCTCGTTTGGACCTTGGAAGTGCGGATTGTGCCTGACACTTATAAGACACAACCACGAACGCATTTAGACAGGGGATTCAGCAGAGATATGTCTCACGTAGTGGTGGATGCCGTTCTTCTCTTCAACCATACTGTATCGCATGTAGAACCGGTGGAAGAAGACACCTGCAACCCAAAGGGTGATTTGGGGCAGGTCGAGAAGAACTCCGGCCTGGTATATGAAGTTGACTCCCTTCGCGCGTCGTAGGCGCTCCTCTGCCGGTGAAATGCCATCTAGAATACTCGGTGTGCTCAAGGTCTCGTCGGGGGTGAAGTACCACTGATTGGGCGGAGGTCCTGGTGTTTGCGCCCTGGACCGCTGTGGCGAACGCGTGTCTCGCTGAGAATGGGGCCGCGGAGGCGAGGTCCGCGATGAATGTGTCGGGGGAGATGGAACTGCAGGCGGCACATCAAGACGACGGGCGGGGGATCTGGATTGCCGGTCTGGTCGTTGAGGACCCGGCGGGAGCGTGGGAGGCTGATATGCCTCTCTCGAAGGCCGATAGCGATCGATACTAGCCATCGCCGCGAGATTATTGTGATACTTTCAATTCGGCGATTCGTAAGATTTGATGTGAGAGACTGATCATGGGTGAAATGGCGCTCGCCGTCGCAAGTGGTATTGTTGGATGATGGCGGTATCGCTTTCCTTGGTTTAGCTGAAGTGGATTTTCGACCCTGTTTGAGTCGCGTTATCTTATCATCAGAGCCACGTGATCACTTTAGACCCCTGCGAGTTCTGGCCAGCAAGTGGATACATCGGATGGGAAGATTGAGGATAGATAGGTATTCAGGTCAGGTAGAGGGGAGCGACTCGGTTTAAACATTCCCGTATTCTGACTCGTAGGATAAAAAGACGGTCAAGAAATTCATCGTAGTCATGGAGATTACGGGTTTTGAGGATAGGAAGCATTGAAATTACTTATACTAGGTACGTTACTATTCATGGCTTGCGCTGGAAGCTATCGCTCTTCGAGGTAGGAGGCACCTTATGTAAGCTTGAGGTGCACACGGATCTTGGTGCTGAGGTGTCTTCGTACCTGCAGCAGTTGCCCATTCCGAATCAGGCAACAAGGCATCAATCAGCTTGGTACGCACTTTCCCTGCTGAAGCTGGCCGTGACGCGAGCATGGAGCTGCCTGAGCTGTTCCCCAAGTCAACGTCAAAGAAACCCCATCCTCCATTCCAATCGTCACCAAGCCCAACACTCCCACGAACATCAACGAGAGCCCGCTCAGAAATAATCTTCTACCCTCATCACCCCTTATTCACCGAATAATTTCGACAATCTCCCCCGCCCGCTGACCGCCGAGATGGACAGCCTTGTGGCCAAGTACAGCCGCCCATCGTTCGAGCAACACAACACCTTCAGAGACGATGAGCAGGAGGACCTTGAGCTCCTGGGCGGAGCGCCGCCGCTGTCATTGAAGTTTGCTATGCCCCCGGTCGCACATGTGAGTTCAATCTCTTGACTGGTTTTCCGTTTGAACCTGAGATGCATGATCAGACTGACATGGGAACCCCTCAATCCAGCCCTCCTCCTGGCTCCGCGCAGCAACAGACGACCGAGCCAACCCCGACTGCCCCATCAAGATTGCCCACGGCACAACGACCCTCGCCTTCCGTTTCCAAGGCGGCATTATCGTCGCCACCGATTCCCGTGCGACTGCCGGAAACTGGATTGCCTCGCAAACAGTCAAGAAGGTCATTGAGATCAACTCAGTGCTCCTGGGCACCATGGCCGGCGGTGCCGCTGACTGTCAGTACTGGCTTGCATGGTTGGGTATGCAGTGCCGCCTGCACGAACTCCGCCACAAGCGCCGCATTTCCGTCGCCGCGGCGTCCAAGATTCTCGCCAACCTCGTCTACTCATACAAGGGCATGGGCCTCAGCATGGGCACCATGTGTGCCGGCGTTACGAAGGAGGAGGGCCCCGCGCTGTACTACGTCGATTCAGACGGCACTCGTCTGCCTGGCAACCTCTTCTGCGTCGGTAGTGGTCAGACTTTCGCCTACGGTGTTTTGGACGCCGAGTACCGCTACGACTTGACTGACCAGGAAGCTCTCGACCTCGGTAGCCGAAGTATTCTTGCCGCTACGCACCGTGATGCCTACTCTGGTGGTTTCATCAACCTCTACCACGTCAAGGAGGAGGGCTGGGTCAAGCATGGCTTCAACGACACGAATCCCATCTTCTGGAAGACGAAGCTGGAGAAGGGCGAGTTCACCAACGTCACTGCCGACTTGGACTAGATGTCGGTGGAGAAGGACAGTGATTTGGTGTCGCTGAAGTCATACGTGTCGTGGGGTTCCTTCCAGAATCCCGCTTTCAGCCAGTCTCCAGGCGAAAGCCCGAGACCGAATACCGCTCCAGTGCCGCTTTTGCCGGGACAGAGCAATATATCCCACCTATCACTATGACGTGCAAGGAGACAAGAAGATTTTACTACCTCGCACACGAATGAATAGAACGGTTATGACAGGCAAATCGAGCGCAGTCGCGGAATCGAGCATGGCTTGTCAGATTGTCCCTTTCGACATTTGTACTCTCAAGGGAGAGTGCAGGTGTTGTGTAACTTGTACACTAGATTATGATACAAGTTTATTCTCACGCTTCTTCTACATTGTTGCTACAAGTGATGCTAAAACCAAAAAAAAAAAAGGGGTATCATAAGCTTTTAATGTTCTCTTCTTCTCCATCCAGGGACACCCAGGATCCCACCATCTTCGCTGGACGGGTCAATCGACCACTTGCGCTCGGGATGTACAGAAAGCAAACTCTCCCAGCCAGCTTCATACATCTCCATGCCAGTCCATGCAATCATGGCCGCGTTGTCCGTACACAACGCCGGCGGGGGCGCCGTGATCTCCACATGCTCGAGTCCGCGGACGTCGAGCATCTTCCGCAGCACGTGCATCAGGAACCGGTTGCTCGCTACGCCACCGCTTACGACGAGTGTTTCCAGTGCGTCTTTCAGCTCCGGCTCGACAGCAAGAGCGAGGAAGATGCGAGTTGCCAGGTGCTCGAATAGGAGGCGCATGGTGGCACGGGCGAGGGTCCGCCGTTCGTCGAGGGACATGGAGTCGCCTTTTGAGGTGGCTATTTTGCGGACCTCGCTGCCTAGGCCATTGAACTCATAGGATAGAGCGCGGGAGGCGGAGAGGGGAGGGTGGAGGGTCCAGGAGTAGGGCAGGGGAGCGGTGTACGGTGCGATTTCGTCGACGCGGCGGAGGGGAGGGGTGTATTCGTAGTCGTAGCCGTGCTCGTGCTGGCTTTTGGGATCTGACGATGATGGAGAGGAGGGGGGAAAGGAGTCGGGAAAGGCGAAGCGTTCGAGGAGGGCGCCGTACATGACGTCCCCGTGCGATGCTAGCATGTCCGGCGGGAGGATGTGGCGCGCTGCCTTGTCAAGGGCGTCGCCGACGGCGATGTTAGAGGAGGAGGCGAGGATGCGGTGGGATGTGAGGGAGCGGGAGTGAACTAGCTGGGTGTGGCCGCCGGAGACTAGGAGGGTGAGGAAGGGATATTTTGGTTTTATAACAGCGGTACCATCGGCTGTCGAAGAGGAGGTGGTGGATGAGGACACTGTAAGTGTCGTCGGATCCTGGTGGGCGAGCGCTGAGACAAGGCGCGGGGTGAGGGCGTGGGCTTGCATGTGGTTCACGGCCAGGAGGGGCACCTGCCAGGCTGTCGCGAGGCCTTTTGCCGTCGAGAGTCCGGAGGCGAGGTTCGCGGACATGCCGGGGCCGCGAGTCACCGTCACGAAGTCGGGTTTCTGGCGTAGAGTGCCGGCGACTGTGAGCGTGTTGTTGCGTGATGACCCGACCTCTCCTGCTGCAGAGCAACCTCCCACCTTCCCTCCTTCTTGTATTAATTCGCTGCCATCGTGATTCCGAGCTTCTTCTTCGGGGCCGGCTGAGGGCAGAGACGAGAGCGCTTCAGCGATGAGTGGCGCGAGCGATGCGTCGTGGGAGCGTAGGGCGACGGGCGGGTAGACGCCGCCGTATGCCGTGCTGTCGGATGTGACTTTGCGGTGAAAGTGGAGGGTCGCGCGGCCGAGGGGACCGGAGTCTTTGGAGAGGAGGGCGACGCAGGTGTCGTCGCACGAGGTTTCGATTGCAAGGGTCAGGAGGGTGCGGCACTGGTGCCGGCACTGGCGATGGAGCTGGGCTCGTTCTCGAAAGAGCGACGGCGACACATGCGCTGCGTTACCGTTGATGGTTCGATGGAGGAGAAGAGACGTAGCGCGCCATCTTTGGAGGATTGTGAGGGGAGCTAGGCGCATTGAGGTAGTTTTGGTGCGATTATGGGTGTTGGAAAGTGCTTCTCGAGAAGAAGGTTGCGATGCAACGATGAGAAGTTCGGGAAGCTCTTATCTTATCATACGTAATCTTATCGGCTGTCTTCACCGAGAGCTCACCGACTTACACGCTTCCTACCTAGACCAAGCTGCAGCGCCTGGTATATTCCACAGCCCCTCAGACAATCTTCTTTATTCTGCTGAAAGATATGAGCCTTTAGATGGATTTCAATTGCTACGAAACACTCAAGAGAACTCCAATAAAGTTATCTCCTTCTACCCCGGTGCTGTGGCTGGAATTGGTCAAGACCGCCCCTTGTTGTGGAAGACTCGGGACGTATCGCGCACGAAAGTTCCATCGTCCTTTAGTGAATCTACTCGCACATGTGCTTATGTTTGCAATAAAAGTATTTTGAAAAATTCATTGATTAAGATACTGGGCAGATTCTAGCTGCCATGCATTTTTGAAAACCTTTTCCTCCCGTTTACCAACCATGCAATTGTCATGATGCTAATAATGCCCACGTAATCCCTGTTTCCAACTCCAAGATCCTGTTCGAATTCATATACAACTCGGCCCTGATATCCTTGCCGGCGTTCAACTATCTTGAATGTCTGTAAAGTTTTCCTCGTCTTTAGTTACCACTGTCCCTCCTGGCAATAAAATTCACCCACTCGCAGCGGCAGCCGCCGGTACCACCATCGAAACCGCCAAAAGAAGCATTCTTGTCCTTTCGAGGGTTCACAGTCGTTCCCCCGAAGCCGATATCATTTGGGAGAAGCTTCGGTGTACTCGTATCGATGCCCTGGCGATCATTCACGGGCCAGTGCCATACGAACTTCTCGCCCGACTCGCCGCCGTGGGTGTCAGTCTTGATCGTGACGGGGTAGGGCATACTGCCCGGGATGGCGAGGAGTTGTGTGGTGTTCGCCGAGCGGGTCCAGATCTGGACGAGGAACCGCGTTTGAGACCACGTCACGAGAAACTTGGCCTCGCTCCTGCGGGATCCGCCGTCCTTGTCGAGCGGCACATTGCTCTCGCCTTCAGTCCCGTTGAGGGTAGTGACGGACTTGAGGTAGATGGTTCGCTTGAAGAAGGTGTAGAAACCGTAGTGCTCAGTCGGGAGGCCGCGATCATACAGTCGGACGGGCTGCTGAACGGCGTGAGGGAAGAGCTGTGCGGGGGCTCCAGTGCCGTCTGCCTCGAGATCTGGTGCCGGTAGTTTGATGCCAAAGTCATCAGTAGAGTCTCCTGAACTCTGACGCTTGCCCAGGGCGTTGGGGCCGACAGTTTCACTGGCAGACTTGAGGATGCTGAGATAGAAAGGCGTCGGTTCGCCAGCTTTCTCATTGGAAACAATACCGTCTGTTGTGTTTCCGAGGAAGTACATTTCCTCAAAGGAAGGAGGGGCTGGGTTGGGTGTGAAGACTGGGTTCTGTCTTTTGATGAGTGCCCCAGCCCTAGCTATGATGCCGCCGAGGTTCAATTGGCGCTTTCCAGAGGTAGATCCAGGCCGAGGGGGTTCACCATTGGGCACATTCCAGAGATTGCGCGTGTTGTTATCCCACTGGATCTGCATGGTGAAAGTCGGCTGGTTGGGACGGTTGGGGGCCACAGATTCCTGTTCTTCCTTGGGAAGCGCACAGCTCCAAACAGTCGAAGGGCTGCTGCAGCCTGTGACAGCGGCGGTGTTGTCTGGGCCGACGACTGAGAGAACTCCAGTCGGCATCGGAGGGAAGTTTGTAAGGTTAAGAAAGATGCTGTCAACTGGCGCAGAGGCGTGATTCCGCGGGATGAGGGTAACGCAGAGAACAATGATGAGAATGCTGAGGAAAAGACTGGCTCCGCATACGCCAAGACAAACGCGTCTTCTCTTTCGGCCTTCACGACCGCTGCGGCCATAGCATCCATTCGCCGGGATGCACCCTCGACCTTTCCAGAAGCCTCCAGCTTTACGAGCTGCGATTTCTTCCTTTTCGTGGCGGCGACGCTGTCGTTCAACGCGATGACCGTTCCCTTCTGCTGCAAGGAAGTGCTCTGGCGGCACAAATGTGCCAGCGAATCGTTCTGGAAGGCGACCTTGCTGTCCAGGAGCAGGACTGTTGCCTCTCGGCGCTGGTGTCAATGGTATGTCGGTCATGTTGATGCCGCCTTGGGAACTCATTGTTCCGTTAATGGCTGGCGAGATTGGTCCCGGAGATGGGGGGTAAAGTGCCTGCAAAGGGTGGCCCGCGGGGAAGACAGCTCGGTATCTCACAGCCTTCTGCTGAGGAGGAGGAGGAGAGTATGGGGGCGGCTGCTCTGAGGGAGCTGGGCTGGGTTCGGCAAGCTGTGTTTTCTCTGACCGGGGCTGCAGTCGTGGAGTAGCTGACCGAGAAGACGACGCGGGTGAAGGGTCCCGCCTGTCCATGAGTGGTGATGGGGTCCTTCTCGGAGTGGGAACTCTGACTATCGGCGCCTCTATATTGTGTGGTGATGGTCTTGGAGATGCTGGAAGGCCTGGTCGCTGAACAATAACTTGTTGAACTTCTTGTGGCTTGAATACCGTAGGCTCTAAGGCTTTTGTTTCCGAGACCGAGACCCTGGCGCCCTTTTCACTCCACCAGTCTTCATGCGCTGATGATTTGGCAGGCTGTGATTCACTCTTCTGAGGTGGGACGATAGGACTTTTCCTCTCCAGAAAGGGTGTCGTGATGTGATCCCACCAACCACGAGTCTGTGTTGCCGCGCTATCTGGGCTCTTTGATGCCTCCTTGGCCTTTGTTGGGTTTTGTCGGTTCGAGGCCGTCCCATCCTCCTCAAATAAGGTGCAGGGGCTACCTCCATCATCGTCTTCGTCATCCCTGTTCTTGAGAACGACACTGACGACTCTTTCCTGTTGTTTGTAGGTAGAAGGCACTGCAGGAACAGGAGGAGCGTCGTGAGCAACACCAACACCAACACCAAGGCCAGTTGCTTGAGAATAAATGCTGGAAGTGCGGTGTGGTGACTGGAAAGGAGAGGTGGTGTCTGGCGTGTCTGGACTCCACACAGATCTCTGCTGTGAGGGAGTCAATGGAGTGACAGTGTCTGGTTTGCCCGTCGTGATAGGCTTGTTGGTATATCTCGGCGGCAGGTCATGCGGCGTCTCAATGATGGCCGTTTGGGGACTGATTTCCCTATCGGCCATCTCTGATGGCAACGCGATGCCAATGACAATCGGACGGTCGTTTGGGGATAGGTCCTGCTCCAGGGGGCTGCGGCCAGCGCTTTGAGGAGACTTTGCGTTTGTGTCCGACTTCTTCATCTTCAGCCAGTTCCAATTGCCGACTGACGCAGAGTTAGGTGACCCCTCAAGGGCCCTCAGTGCTGCTGCATCGACAAACTTGGGCTGCTGAAGATCAGGAATCCGGCTCGGTTGAGCTTGTTGCTGCTGTCGCAACGTTGCCATGTCTGTAACCACCTTGATCCCTGCTTTGGCGTTCTGCGCCTTTTGTCGCTGGCGGGACTTGAGACGCCTCAGCTTCTGAACTGAGTACCGTGGCTGTGAATATCTCGTCGAAGCCGGTTTGTTTGGTCTCAGGGGACTGGGAGCGGCCGTCTTGTCCATGATGAGCTCTTGGTCATCGTCCATGATTGGGGTAACCACATCTTCATCTTCCCACTCCTCCCAGTCTTCCCTCTCGTTATCATGTCGGTGATCGTATGGCTGCCGTTGAAGCACGGAGGCCCCGTTGGAGGACATGTTGATGTAGGAAGTTCCGAGACTTCAGAACGCAACTATGAAGGGACAATGCGTGTAAGTCGACTCCGAAGTAATAAACTGATTCGATGGGGATGAAAAGATTTCGAGCCTCTCAAGAAAATTTTGAATGAGAAAAATAATGAGCGAATCACCGAAAGGCTTCTCTGGTCGAGGTGGGTGTCAAGCTGGAACAAAGGGGTGGCTTTGAAAGAGATGCTGATGGATATTTTGGGGAAGGAAGCAAAGAGGGAAAGAGCGGCAGGTCCAAAGAAAGTGCTACAATGATTGACAACGAACTCTCCCACATGGAATACTCGGCTGTGAGTCGTGAACAGGCGCACAATGAACAACAAAAGGGAAACCGGATAGCCACCCACCGAGATTCATTCAACTACGTCTGAAAACACGAAACAAGCAGGAGGGCAATGGCGCGGCAGGAGCAGGTAGCTTCATTATATGACTAGGGCCGAATCATCACGCGGCGGCTTTGAGTTCATGGGTCACGGCTAGGCCTCGCGATGTTTGGCTGGACGATGCAGTTCGCAGTATGAGGTAGGCGCCCAGTTGGACATCTCGGGCTTCTGATTGGCCGTGGTGCCGCTGGCCAGCTCTCGGGCCTGCACAGGCAATCGCAACGCTGGCCATTCATTTGGCCGCGGTTACATGGAGGGCAGGACGGCTCTGCGGGATGTAGCGGCATGCAGGACATCCATGAACAGAATGTTGGCTCATCTCGTGTGGCCAAATCACATCATTCAGTGAACCACGATGAGCAAAATGACTGCGTGTGGTTTGAGGGAGTGAGTTTGGGGAAGTTGAGGCACGTGTGGGTGGCTTGCGATGAAGTTGTTCCTGTGGCTTGAAGAAGGTGTGGCTGAAGACGCAAACATACGCCACTCTAGTCTTATTAATAGATTTCCCCCTGACAGATTCACCTTTCACCGAGCCCGCACTTAAGCCTGCCGCCGTTAATGGATGGTCTTCCGCATCTCACCTCGCCGAAGGAGTGGAGACCCGAGACAGCATTGTATGCCGCTGCCCGGGCCGGATTCTGACAATTCCAAGCTGAATTGCTCACTTTCTAACTAATACCTCAATATCGAGAACAAGCCAGTGGCTGGCTGGCTAGCCATGTCGAAACGTTTCAGCTAGCCAATTTTTCGTTGTGTGTCCAATATGAGCCTCGTACCAAACGCGTTACATTCCAGTCTTGTTAAACTGGAATGCTTATACAAGACGTCATAGCACAAGATGTCACGGCTGCCAAAGCACTCGAGGTACTGTCGAGTCCTCCATGAGCCAGCAACGCGTCGGAATGGAACAGAGCATCGGCATCGGAAGCGATCGAGTCAAGAACTCGGGCATCACGCCTCGCCGGCTGGAACGTCTTTCAGACGCCACGACGTATGCCATAGGTGGGTAGAGGTACAGGTTTTCCTTCCCGCCCGTCATCCTATCTTACAAGTTACGTGTCTGCACGCCAGCCGTCACCCCTCATTTACCATAGCTTTGGGATTTGGTTTTTGTCATGGCTGTGGGATGGAATAACAGGGCCATACAAATCCGGTCTCAGGTCCTGAGCAGGTGGACGAGGAGCATTGAGTGGGTGAGTGGCTGTGCGGCTAGCTGCCTCGCGAAGGACGAGGGAGGGCTTGGGCTTTCTGAATCGCAAACCTTGCCGTTCCAAAGAACAGGGCGAAAGAGGGAGGAGCAGTAAAATCTGGGAATTATGTTTAACTCATGAAGTTTTCGCCAACGGCATGCAACGCCAGTATATCGTTGAACTTTGACGCGGCTGTTTCGGCAGGATTATTTGTACAGAGCGCTGGCTGTGGAGTTGGCATCTTTGCTGTAATGCTGGTGTCATCGAAACACCATTGTTAATTTAAAAACTGGTCTAGACTTGAGGCGGAAGACGAGGGACAGCTCCACTCGATCTTGAACGCAATCTCCAATCGGGAGGATCAAACATGTCAAGAATCATGTTGTCTAGAACTGTTATACCGCAGCTTGTCGCTCGAAAGTCTGGTTCCGAGGCGGAAACCACTACATGGAACATCGTGCAATTCGTGCCAATTAGCAAGACGCGTCTCGAGGGCTGAATGACACGTAGGTACACTACTTCATGCCATGCTGAGCAGTGTCACTCGACATCCACTAGCATCTCAGTTCAGCACGTGCGGGATCTGTCTGTGTACAAGTAAGGTATCCAAGGGCCGCATTGAAATGCGTTAAAGTTCATGTCTTGGCTAGAAAGCGAAAGCGTTTTTTCATTACCTCCTTACCTCAGCAAGCTATTTGGTATCCCTGATGATTGCGACAGGCTCGTGAATGCCCTAGATTGTATTATTTTCCTCCCTTGGCTCAATCTGTACATGTATCAGGTGAACTCAATTCAGGATGGTTTATTCATACGCTTTTCTTTTTTGGGCAGATAACATCCATGATTATGACATCGTTCTTATCACGATATTCAGACGATTAATACGTCAATTGCTGCTATCCGGGGTTGTTGAGAGGAAAGAGCTTGAGGAGGCTTCGAGCCTATTACTCTAAACAACCAGTCTCAAAGTACACTTGACCTGTCTTACTGCTGCAGCATGAACGTTGCCGCCGTGTGCAAGCTACCTGAGTCAATGCAGGGCCCATGATTTAATGTCAGCGGACCGCTAGAAGTCCTGAAACCTTGGCATCCTGGCACCCAGCAAAGACGTTCCTTCTGAAAAAAGATTAGACGCATCAGATTTCTGCATCTATACTGGACTACGGGCGAGAAGGGGTTAGCCATGAAAATTAAGTGCCCTTTTTTAGAAGAGAGACTGACGGTGGGATGGACTGGACGGTGGCCAACCAGGATGGATGGCCTCCCTTCAAGTAGGTATTATTGCCCAGCTTGAGCCCAGCCCATTCCCTTTGCAGATACGAGACGATCAAAGGAGTAAATCAACAAATAGTCGCACAAAAGGGAAACGGCCCTTTCTTGAATCTTACGAATCAAACATACCCTTCTGCCACTATCTTACTCATATTGTCTGTGAGACTCGGAGTTCCATTGTCGGCCTCCGCAGCTTCTGCTTCATTTGGTTCAATTGTCATCTGTCAGCAATCATCCCTGCCCCCTACCTAGGTAGGTACCTACCTGAGGTACTTACGTACTGTGGTACTCCTGTCTCCGCGTGCTCTTCCCCTCCCTTTCCCCCCCACGCCAGTGGCAGTAGGCGGTCAATTCCCGGTCTCTCTTTCCTGCTGCAGCCACCAGCGCCGCGAAGGAACGCCCTCGCGAGAAAAAAAAAAGTGACCCAGCCGGAAGACGACTCTCCTCCACTTCGCCCTCGTGCCTAACACTTTTCTATCTGTCTGTCTACTCCGTACACCTGTCCCCGTCGCATCGACACTACTACGGGAGAAGCACTGAACCGAGCCACCAATTCCTTACACCTAGGCTCTGGCTGTCTGCCGTCCATAATCCTCTGAGCTTCTACCTTACCGACCAGGCCCTGTATCGACCTGCCCTGCCCACGCAGCAAAACACCTTCCCCTGGCTGGGTTACCTGTACAGCCTCACCCCGAATTCCACGAACCACCAGAAGCCATTCTGCCTATTCCGAAGAGAGAGGGGACCCCCTTTTTCGGATACATCGACCCCCTTCCCCAACACCTTTAGCGAATACTTCTTCTTGGCTATCGCGTTGTAACCAGACGGCTCGTAAAGTGCCATCTGGTCACAACCCTCGATAATCTTTCATCCTGGATCAATCACAGCAATTCGCCGCCTCTTCGTCCTTCAGCGATCGCAGGCCAGCACGTTCACATCATCGACGCCGCTCCTCTGCATCTGGCGGTCTTGCAGTCAACGTTGACGCCCCAGGCGACCGTGGCTCTTCCCAATTCTTGGGAGTCCACGGCCAGCAGCCTGGTCTTGCGCCAATTCCAGGTACGTCTTGTCCTGCATCATCCTCCCGTCCTTTTCCTCAACTCCCAGTCCGGCCCCGTTGCACACCTATTCGTACATGTCTACGTCTTCCAAGCCCCCGTATACCGACATGCCACCGATGTGAATACGGGTTGGACAACCGAATGAAGGGACCCGCTTGCTGACAGCTCGTGTTCTTTCATCGCTGCAGGCACCCCCAACACCGCAATGTCACTCTCGCGCAGTCCCTCGCCTATACCTGGAGGCGGTTGGGCCAGCCCTGGCCTGACCATCAACACCAGCGGTCGATCGAGTCCGAGTAGAGGCTTCTCAGCATCCAACGGCGCCTCTACCCCTTGGGAGAGCAAGATGAGGACCGTTGGTATGAACGGATACCCGTCCTTTTCTACCCAGAACCAAGGTTTCTTCACACGACACATGCGCCGGATATCAAGCAGCCTACCGCGGTTCAACAACCAGAGTCCATACGTCGAAAAGGAGAAGGACAAACTGGGGCGAGGATCATGGGCGGCACAGAAGGTTCCCCTCGTGGGAAGGATACGGAACATTTTCGCGCGCATGGGCAGGAAGATGAAGCTGCGCCTGCTGATCCTGCTCCTCTTCACCCTCGCGATGACCATCTTCTACAACACTCGTACGTTCCGCCTCTTGACATGAGTCTGGCTTTCTCGCTAACCATCTCGCAGCTCTCGTCTACCACTGGCGAAGACATTTTGGTGGAGGCCAAAAGTATGTCATTATCTTGGCCGCCAATATCGGAGGAGGTGTCATGGAGTGGAAGGGGGCCCGTGAATGGGCTATTGAGCGAGACAGTGTACGGAACAAGAAGAAGTACGCCAACCGATGGGGATATGATCTTGAGATCGTAGACATGAGCACCAAGAAGCGATACGCACACGAATGGCGCGAGAGCTGGGAGAAGGTCGACTTTGTGCGCTCCGCGTTCCGCAAGTATCCAAAGGCTGAATGGTATGTCGCAGCGCTCAAATTTCTCGGCGTGATTGAACTAACGATGGGTCAAGGGTTTGGTGGCTCGACTTGAATACCTACGTCATGGAACTATCTTATCCCTTACAGAACCATATCTTTAACGACATAAGCAAACACGTCTACCGCGACATCAACGAGTACAACCCTCTGAACATCAGCCATCCGTTCACCGATCCTTACCTGGACGAGGAGTCCCGAAGTCCGATTGGCGATGGGAAGGCTGAATCGGTCAACCTGATCCTCTCCCAGGACTGCTCTGGCTTCAACCTCGGTTCCTTCTTCGTAAAAAGAGGCAATTGGGCTGATCGCATGCTGGACGTCTGGTGGGATCCCGTCGCCTACGAGCAGAAGCACATGGAGTGGGAACACAAGGAGCAGGACGCTCTGGAACAGCTCTACAAAACGCAGCCCTGGATCCGCAAACACACGGCCTTCCTCCCTCAGCGCATGATCAACGCTTTCCCGCCGGGCGCTTGCTCCGAGAACGGAAACGACACTCGTATCCACTACGACCAGAAGGACCGAGACTTCGTCGTCAACATGGCCGGCTGCGAATGGGGTCGCGATTGCTGGGGTGAGATGTACAACTACCGCGAGCTCAGCTATTATCTGAACCGCAATCCGTGGGAACGCTTCAAGGAGGATCTCATTGCCGTCATCTGGGAGAAGATCACCGGCCAAAAGGTCAAGCTCTGAGACGGCTGACGATTCACCAAGACACGGCCCTGATACGTCTTTGCGCATCACCGTTGGGCCATATAATAACGGCTGGTCAACCGTGTTTCACTTCCAACGTCCTGTTTATCAATGGGAACAACCTATCTTGCATACTACACATATACGCATGCG